TCATGTACTTCCCATTGATATATTACATTTGAGATGAAAAGTTACTGGAAAAAATAAAACACAAATTTATAGGCGTACGCTCAATTTTGTCCATGACTGTATATGAAAAGAATTTAGTGTTATAATATTTTTCAAGAACTTTATCAATTTTTATTACGCACATTTCGGGCACATTTATTGTATCTATAACAGCAGACATCAATTCCTTTCTTTTGATGTTTTACTAAATTTGACTATACTGAAAAAAAATCGAAAAATCGACCCTCGAAATTGGGTAAACCGTCATGGCACAATTACGGCACATATGTTATTTCGACAGCACATTTCGCGCACAGTTTTTTTTGCCCTGTTACGAAGCAATATCTTCAAGTTGAAAATTTTTGACTATGCATACAATTTTAAATGGATTGACCAATTTCAATGGCGTATTTTTTGAAGTCATCGAACCTTTTTTTTTATCCCCATTAACGCGCTCTCTGAATATAGCTGTAATATAAATAGAACAATTACAATGAAATCTATACATAAAATAAATAGACAAACCTTTTACAAACTTCAATTTTGGGCGGTCAAGATGTTGTATGCTGCCTTGCGTTCCACATTTCAATAAATCGGTTTTGGTGAACACGGCTCGAAGCAAATCAAACAAAAACAACTTGTCATAATCAACTGTTGAGGAAGGATATGTGCTGTTCATTTTTTTCATCACAGCAATACTATCGGCCTTTAATTTTACAGTATCATCCAAATAATACCGATCACCATTTCTCTGAAAATAGAAATGATCCATGAATAAAAATTTCCAGTTTCCTTATTGTTTCTAAGATGTGAAAATTGATAGCTTACATTTGACGTGAAATAATACTTCGAAGCAAACATGCTATCAATCTGGTGATATTAGGTATTAGTCACCATGCCATCTACTCCTTCTTCGAACATTTCCGCCCCCGCTACTATCGGATATTATTTCAGTGGGAATACGTGCATTCATTCTGCTCAAAACAAGTCGTAGGGCAGCATTTTCCTGCTCTAACTTCACAATGACAACCTGAAACACACAATTACAGTGCATTAGTGACATTTTGAAAAAGCTGATAAATTAAAACAAACCAAACTTACGACTACATCATGTGACTGGCTCTCGTTCGACTCAGCTTCTGAGTTTTGACCATGAGACTTGGCGCTATCGTCTTCATTCGTCGACACGTGGCTCACTGAATGGCAATCCAAAGAGTTGTCGATCGTAGCCGGTGCCAAATTGCCTTCTTCAACATCATCACTACTTCCAACTGACAAATTGTCAACGGTGTCGTTTGTTTGGCTCTCTTCTTTCTAAAATACACAATTTCAATGAATAAGTGCTATTTTGTATGCGCTGATGAAAAGAAATAAACCAAACTTACGACTACATCATGTGACTGGCTCTCGTTCGACTCAGCTTCTGAGTTTTGACCATGAGACTTGGCGGTATCGTCTTCATTCATCGACACGTGGCTCACTGAGCCGCAATCCAATGAGTTTTCGATCGTAGTCTTCGCCAAATTGCCTTCTTTAACATCAGCACTACATTTTTTCATATGTGAGCGCAACCCAGAAAACGTTAAGAAGGTCTAGTTACATGAATAATTTTCGAAATCATGTAAACATTTGATAGTTGATAACTTGTCTCTGATGGTGTGAACAGTTCGCAAATGTTTGAAAGCAGTTGTAAGTTCAGTAAATTTTTTGTTGCACTCGTAACATTTATATTTCTCCATGTCCGAATTATATCGTTTGTAACAACACAAAAAATGTAAATAATTATCAAACTGAATATCATTGAAGTTGGCAGTAAAATACAATAAAATTCATTATATTTTTTGTGATTTTATACGGATAAAAAATAAATAATTTGAATGAAACTTCGTTGACTCAAACACAAGATACCATACACATTGACATCAAACACATTGACTGTGCGTTGACAGGTTGTTTGACTTTGTTCGAATGAGACTTCATTCGAAACTTGGTACGTTTGACATTTATCCAAAAGATGGCGCGATCCCTCTCAAATGAAATGAAGTCTGATTTGTTATTTTGTTTGATAGATTTATTGAATTATCTTCACAAATTTCATGTATTTTCTTATAAATAGGGAAAAAGACAAAAATTATCTCACAAAGTGGTTAAACTTTTATTTTCTCCTATAATGGGTTGGACTTTAACCGAATTTGGTCTCTGTGCAGTTATGACAAATTAATTTGTGATGATGACAATGAAATTAATAACTATCCCAGAGAGTTTTTAAATTCAATTGCTATTAGTGGTTTGCCACCGCATAATTTATCGTTGAAAATAAATTGCATTGTTCTGTTGATCAGGAATTTAAATACTTCTCAGGCTTTAGTGAACGACACAAGAATGAGAGTTAAATGTATGCATCATAACACTATCGATTGCGAAATTTTAACTGGAGTTGCGCGTGGTAAGCGCATTTTGATTCCGCGAATAAATTTAACTTATTCCGGTTCAATACTTCCTTTTGATTTTCAAAGGACACAATTCCCAATAATCCCTGCTTTTGCAATGACCATCAACAAGCTGCAGGGCCAAACTTTCGATAGAGTTGGTGTCCTTCTGCGACAACCTGTGTTCACGCATGGGCAACTTTATGTCGCCGCGAGCAGAGTTAGAAGTTTCGATGGCTTACGATTTTTCCAAGGTTTAAATTTTCCCATCCGCTCGATAGAGCCTCCATAGATTGAATCGAAAGAATTTTTCAAAAGAGACTCTTTCAAAAGAATCTTTGCAACAATTTTCAATATTCTGCTACATATTACGGCTGTAAACTATATTCAAATGATTGGTTTTGATTTATATTTTAATACTATGAAGAAAAAAAACTAAAAAAATTGATTTGTATTAAATTTTATTGAAATTATTGATTTCATTAAAACGATCATTTTGACTGTACAGTTTTCACTGGATGGCAGCACTTATTTAGTTTTAAAAACGTTCAATTGACAGTATACTGTGCGACATGGAGAAACAGAGGCAACACGCAACACACACTCGGACTCACCATAGTGAGTGTGAGTGTGTTCGTGAGCTAAATGTTTGTCGTTGTCACACAGATTCACACAGATAGGGTTACATGGTATCGTCCATTTTTGCAACATCATTTTAGCAAAACAATGTCATTCTAGAACTTTCGTTTCATAGCAGCCATTTGCATCACAAGCAGACCGTTCATACAATAGTTTTAGTTTTTGTAGCAATTTACTTTTTTCATCACCACGTTTTTGCATTTCCGCACGGTTAGATCTCAGATTTTGCAATTTATTTACAAATCGGTTTAGTCAAAACAATTTCACGTACATTTCATCCAAGAATAAAAACCACACAACTCACATTGATTGTGTTCGGTGAAAGAGTTTGATCACTTTGAATTGCGCATTATTGTACGGTTTTTTCATATTGTTACCAACCCAATTCGAACTGAGATCTCTGCATACAAATCATTTTGCATTAAATTACACGAAAAGAAGTCGAGTGTTGTTTTATTTTTAAACTAAGCGGCCGAACATTGTCTCCGACACAAACATTTTGGTGGCCCATGGGAGGATAAAATCGAACAAATTCACGGACACTCGATCAGTGAAAAAATAAAAATAAAATCGTTTGACATTTTACCGTAATTCGTGTAGTGCAATAAAATGAGTGATACAGAAGGTGCACAATCGACAATGCCAAGCGTTGCACACTTGGTGAAATTGCAACGGGACCGTCTCAAGTATGTGGAAGGGATCTTGACGAATTTCGAAAAAACTGCCGAAGTTCGACGGACAAAGGCATATTTCGCCTTGAAAATAACGCAATGCCAAAACACATACAAAGAGTTTTTCGATACGCATAAACAAATTGTGTGCTCTAACCTCGATGCTACGGATGAATATTTCGCAGACGAAATGGCACTCATGTTCGAGGAAAAATATGTGTTATCTTATAGTGCAATTCAAGATGAGCGAGAGGAGAAATTTGCACCGTCCGAACCGATTCCAACGGGATCGCAGGCCTCAGCGCAACACATTGTTCAACGAAATCATTCCAGTGTGCAATTGCCATCGATTGAAATGCCTAAATTCTCGGGCAAACACACCGATTGGCCGAGTTTCAACGACGCATTTATTCGTTTAGTGCATCAAAACCTCTCATTGGATGCAATTCAGAAATTTAATTATTTGAAACAAGCATTGCCACCGAATCACGATAGAGACATTCATGAGATGCCGTTAACCGACGCTTTCTATCGAACCGCGTGGGATTTGCTCGTTAAACGGTACAACAGTCCACGAATTCTATACATGCACCATTTGAACACACTCTACGCGTTGCCGGTGCTACAAAAGGAACGTTCAGTCGATATCAAGTCGGTGTTGAACGCAGCAAATGTTTGCATAACGGCATTTCGGCGTCTGAATATTCCAATCGATGACTGTGACCATTGGATTGCCCATTTGATCGCGACCAAATTGCCGACTGAAACACATCACGATTGGGAGCATCATTGGGGCAGCCACAGTGAAATTCCAACATTTTCCGACCTTGAAAAATTTCTTAATGACCGTTTATTCACTTTAGATGCAATTGAGAGCCGAGGTACCGTACACTCGGTGTCGATGATGAAACCCGTGCATGACTCACACAAAGTCTCGAATACACATGCGAATGACTCGAAACAAATGAAATGAAACAAGAATTTTGAACGGAAATCGTTTCACACAACAACGGCTCGCAACTCAAACACCAATGGAAACAGTAATCCGACGGAGAATTGTCCAGTGTGTAACGGCACTCACGTTGTTCGCCGTTGTCCAACATTCATCGTGAAAGATTGCTTCGAAAGAAAGGCACTCGCTGATCGTCTAAAGCTTTGCCTCAATTGTTTGAGCCGCCAACACCTAATTGCACAATGCGGTAGCGCCAAGAACTGTCTTCAATGCGGCCTACGGCATCACACAATGCTGCATTTTCCCGTTACTTCATCGAATAGCGCTGCGAGTTCAACGAATAACGCCGCGAGTTTCACAAATACCGCCGTTCCAGGGAGACCAGCACCAAATCAGGCGAGTAACTCATTTTCAAATCCTGAAATGCGAACACTCGCAACAAATGTTTTTTCGACCATTCATGCTCCAAAATCTGTCTTGCTCGCGACAGCTCTCATCCCAGTGGAAAACGTGAAAACCGGTAAAGTCACCGTTTTACGTGCACTCATCGACGACTGTTCAGAAGGCACGATTATATCTGAGCATGCCACCAACGTTTTGGGTCTTCGACGAACATCTGCCATCACCGAAGTCAACGGCGTAGGCCAAAACCATGCTGGAACTAGCAACGAAATAGTTCAATTTGCATTGCGATCCAATGTACATCGAGATTATCGAGTTTTTGTCGACTTAGCCATCGTAATGAAAGTCGTCACATCTGATTTGCCAAGCCGACGGGTTACGCCCCAAGATTGGCCACACATTCATGGATTAGTGTTAGCTGATCCAACTTACTTCGAACCAGGAAAAATTGATCTGCTCATCGGCTCAGAATGGTCTGCATCGATCATGTTACCAGACACACGCATCGGTCAACCAAATCACCCAATCGCTCGAAATACATACTTTGGGTGGATTTTGCATGGCCAGACAGCATCAATTTCCAAACCCAATTCAGCTAACAATCAAAAGGTCACCATACGGACTCATCACACGTCCATAGATCTCAGCTCATTATTTCACGACTTCATCGAAGCTGAAAAAATACCGCAAGAGAAATCGCATACCGAAGAGGAAAAATGGTTTATGGATTTCTTCAAACAAACGCATCATCGTCAACCCAATGGAAAATACATGGTGCGTCTTCCATTCAAATCATACAATTTAGGGCGCTCACATCAAATTGGCGTGAATTGGTTTCATCGTTTGGAACGCCGTTTCAATCGCGTGGAAGGTTTGCGAGAGCGCTACGAAGCAGGTATCAATGAATATTTTCAACTTAATCAAATTATACCTGCTCCATTCCCAGAACAAGCATACGTCACTCACGACGACAATGGAAATGTAATTGTTCGAGCGTGCGTTTTACCACACCACGCTATCATCAAAGAAGACAGTCTCCCCACGAAGACTCGAATCGTTTTCAATGCATCGGCAAAAACGTCCAACGGTCGCTCCTTGAACGAAAACTTATGCATCGGTCCTGCACTGCAAAACGAATTGCCCGCTGTAATTCTCAACTGGAGATTGTACGAATTTGTTTTCACCGCAGACATTCAGCGCATGTATCGTTGCATTGATATGCACCCTGACGATGTACCATATCAACAAATTTTATGGAGAAACGATTCGGGTGAGTTGCAAACATTTTGCCTAACAACCGTAACATTTGGAACAGCACCAGCCCCTGCGATTGCTATCTCGGTGATGCACCAGATTGCCAATGATGAGAAGGAGAATTTTCCGCTCGCCGAATCGATTCTAAAGCAAGAAATGTACGTCGACGATGTACAATCTGGCGGGCATTCGATCGAAAGTGCCTTAGCTAAACGAGATGATTTAATCGCTGCACTCAAATCAGCGGGTATGGAGCTGCGGAAATGGGGCAGCAACCATCCATCGTTATTATCATCGATTCCAATTGAACATCAATCCATAAATTCAGCGTTAGAGTTCAACACGGACGAAACCGTCAAAACGCTCGGAATGATTTGGCAACCTGGCGCCGATCAATTCAAATACAAACTCCGATTTGAACCAGCAAAAATTGCGACGAAACGAGCTGTTTTGTCAACAACTGCTCGCCTCTACGATCCGTTGGGTTACATCGCACCGGTTGTGGTCGTTGCAAAAATCATTCTCAAAAGCATCTGGGGCCATAACTCATCAACTCACAATGATGCTCAATCGAACCAAGAGACAGCATTGAATTGGGACGACGTTTTACCAGAATCGCTCAACGAACTTTGGAACAAATTTCTGGGGGAATTGCCTGACATCGAGAAGATATCCATACCAAGATGGATCCAATTTGCGCCGAATCAAATTCAATCAATCGAGTTACATGCATTTTGTGACGGCGCAACATCAGCATATGCAGCAAATGTGTACATACGAATGCAGTACAGCAATGGATTGGTACACACGCATCTACTCATCGCCAAAAGCAAGGTAACTCCAACCAAACCATTAACCATTCCACGAATCGAATTGTGTGGAGCTGAACTTGCCACTCGATTAGCAGTTTGGGTAAAATCAAATCTTCAGATCTCAGTCGATCAAATTCCGATTTATTTTTGGTGTGACGCAACGATTGTGTTACATTGGATTCATGGAGACATCTCACGTTGGAAAACGTACGTTGCAAATCGAATTAGTAAGATTTTATCATCAACGTCACCCAAACAATGGAGCCATGTTGGCACTCACGATAATCCTGCCGATTGTGCCACTCGTGGATTGACACCGACACAGTTATCCAAGTTCGATTTGTGGTGGAAGGGACCGGATTGGTTAGTCAAATCAAAAAAGGACTGGCCTACATTCAAACCGGGCGTCATTAGCTTCAGTGAGGATTTGGCAGAAGTAAAGTCATCCGAAATTCATGTTCATGTGAGCATTCAAACCGAATCGATTATGTTTCTGTATTCATCGTTATACAAATTGATTCGGGTCAACGCATGGATTCGTCGATTTCGTCACAACGCACTCAACAAATTGAAACGAATGCAAGGAGAACTGACCGTAGCAGAAATCCAATCCAGTTTGTTCCAGTTGGTCCGTCTCGTGCAAGCGGAAGCATTCGGTAAGGAGATTAAATGTATTTCCAATAATGAACCTTTACCCAAGAAATGTAAAATTAGCGGATTAGCACCATTTTTGGATGAACAAAATATTGTCCGTGTACGGGGCAGATTGCAACGCTCCAATTTACCGTATCGTCAGCGCCATCCAATAATTTTGCCTCAAAACCATCATTTCACCACACTGGTTATCGACGATGCACATTCAAGTACATTGCACGGTGGAACGCTCGTCACACTCACACACATTCGTGGGTGTTTTTGGATTGTAAAAGGGCCGACATGCCGTTCGGTCACGTATTCGCAAGTGTGTCACCTGCTTCAAAGCAAAACCAGAAACAACAACACAATTGATGGGAAATTTGCCGTACAATCGCGTTAATCCACCTCATCGACCGTTCTTAGCCACTGGAGTGGACTTCACTGGTGCAATTGAACTCAAAGCATCCAAATTTCGTGGCAATACGACGTACAAGGGATACATTGCTCTGTTCATTTGCCTCGCAACCAAAGCTGTTCACCTCGAAGCAACGACGGGAATGACAACTGAACATTTTTTGTGTGCATTGCATCGTTTCATCGGACGTCGAGGCAAGCCTCGTGATATGCACAGCGATAATGGCACCAATTTCGTCGGCGCCGAGAAAATCGTCGGTCATAATTCATTTGTAGACGCTATCAACAAAGACATTGTGCCAAAATTGTCAATGCAAGGCATTCAGTGGCATTTCAATCCACCACATTCGCCGAATTTTGGAGGACTTTGGGAAGCCAACATCAAATCGCTCAAATTCCACTTGAAACGAATGATCGATGGAACACGACTCACATTCGAAGAGCTCACAACTGTCTTGGTACGAATTGA